ACGCCTTCGCAACGGCAAAGGCCGTGGCAGCTACTGGTGAGTTATATCTTGCATCACTTGCAATATACTGTATACTCGCAAATGCACTAATGCTATGGTCGTTATAGGGTGACTATAATATAAGAGTGTTAGGGTTACCATAGGGTATGCTTTCGGAGTTGCTATGAGGGTTCTAGAGGTGTACTATGCTGTGATCGGCACGACCCTGGGCGGATCCTACCTTCTACGGGACGCCTGAGCTAGTAGCACCTCTGTACTCAGCCATAGCGAGCCGTAAGTCGAATGATAAAGAAAGCTGTTGTTCCATGTTCGATGCGGCATTTCTCGAACAGCTCCGGCACCGGAGCTGAGCTTAGTGAGAAGTGTCAGGCTCCCCCGGGTTTGCTTCGCAGCCATGGGATGCAAGTCGTCTGTGCAAGTTGCCTCGTTTGACGAGCTGAGAGACACGGGCATGTGCATGTGCGGGAGAAGCGATTGCCCGGCCTGGAAGCAGGCGGCAAGTCGTGAAGCCAGAAAGGCTTTGGCCAAAAAGCGGCGCTTTGCACCAGAGTTGGCCACGCAACAGCTCGCCCCTATCCTGCCTCATGGCTATGCCCTTGAAGGGCTCAAGGACGCCGGGCCAAGAGACGAGACCTCGAAGGACTTGGAGGGGTGCGAAGAGTGCGGAGTTGAGGTCAAGGTCCCGGAGCACCTTCGAGACATCCTCAAGGAGCGGGTCCTGGCGGAGTTCGTCGAGCCATCAGCAGTCATGAGCTCATGGAAATTTCAGCAAGCAAAGGATCGGCCGGCCGGTATGCTTGGTCCGCCGGATCGTGAGACGCATCTTGCGCACGTGAAAAACCTTCACAGGTTCTTTAGAGTGAGCTGCAAGGTGCCAGGCTGGCTCCGGCTAGAGGTCGATGATAAAAGGAGGCGGGACGGCATGGAGCCGACCCCCATGAAGAGATCCACCAGTGACTGTGCTCGCAAAACCGCACTGAAAGGTTTGGGTTTAAGCCGAGAAGCACTTTTTGGGACACGGGCCCAACAGGCCTAGGCGGCCAGAAATATATTTCAACTACGTTGTTGCTTCGCGAGCTGTTTGCAGATGGCAGCAACAAGGAGCACTTAGTAGGCTGTCAAAAGCCTTATCGCCCTACTCTTTTGTAGTGTGGCCTCGCATTGCGCCCCATCTGCAAAATGCCTTGAGCAACCACGGCTGATCGCAGCCGTTTCTAGTCGCGCAGAGCATTTTCAGAAATCTAAAGTGGCAAGTATGGTTACCCTAAACCCTAAACCCGAAACCCTGAACCCTAAACCCTGAACCCTAAAACCCTAAACCCTGAACCCTAAACCCTAAACCATATAAACCCATAGTTTTTTTTCTGGATGATGCTGGCACGTCCTAAATCACAGCACTGTTTCTGCGGAAAATCCCCCCGCCTGCAGACCCGGCGTGTTCAGACCGTCCTTCAGAATCGGGCATGAGGGCAGTGCTCTAAATTAGGGTCCCTTTTTTTTAGGTCCCCAATATAGTACGGGCACCCTTATAAAAAAGTAGCCTAAAAAGGGACCCTAGTTCGGAGACCCTAAACCCTAAACCCATCTGGCATGAACAGACTCTTTTTTCAATGGGCTTCATCATGGCTGAGATTTTCGGCTTTTTGCAGCTCCCCTGCTTCATGCGGGAAGCTCCGCTGCCAATATATTCCTTCCGCAATGTAGGGGCCTTAATAATTAGAATTAGAATAGGGTTTTTGCGGTTCCATATTGTAATTATGGTAGAATTATAATCCAAACCCTATTCTAATTATTAAGGCCCCTATATTACAGTTCGCCATTTCCTTCTTGACGGGGCAATCTTGTTGTTCTGCAATCTGCAATCAGCAGTGCGGCTAGAAGTCAAGCTTGGTGGCACGTTGAGATTAAACCAAGGATGTATTGAGATACTATTCTACTACCATCGTCTAGACACTCTAGGGAATGCTACGACGTCTATACCACAGTGCTTGTCTAGAGGACTTGAGCTTGGCTTGCCTCTGCCTTTCTTGGATCTCACCCCATCCAAGCATGAATTGCTTACTGCTGCAGTCACCTGTAGCTGGAAGCGACGCAGCAGGCTTCTTTCGCTTCTAGCGAGATGCGAGCTCAACCGGGACATGTCCCCCAGTACACCAGCCTTCGCAGAATTCAAGTCCAAAGCTTTCTGCGTCGTGAATGCGACTGAAATACATCGAACACGGCTCAGCGTGCAGGTTTTCCCTCTTGCACGCAAAAGGTTGCAGCACTGCGTGGTAATCATGTTTGAGCTGCAGCCCTCACTCAACTTCTGATATGGGGGGTCGGAAAATGTGGCAGTACCGTCCTTACCATCCTGTTTTAATCCCTACAAGTATACGATAGTATACTCAAGAATCCTGGGCTAAGCCCCTATCTTCGCTTTAAGCGATGGAGCTCACAGGCATCGCTCGGGCAGCAAAAAGGTGTGCAGCCCTGTACCCTTATCATGGCCCTTATCGTAGCCTTTAGAGGATCCCCTCTAGTAAGCCCTCTAGACCCTCGTAGTGCCCATTATATTCTCTTAACCCCTATGGACCCTTGTTGAAGCAGCTCAGCAGCTCTTGAAAGACCCCTCTGCCAAAGCTCTGAAGAGATGCTCATGCAAGATCACTGCTGATTGAAACGAATGTAGGAAAAAAACTGTCCTTGGTCCTTCCCAGCTGGAAGAGCTGAAAGCAGCCAGAGGGGTAGCAGCAACATGCGGTGCCAACGATGTGTGCCCAAAAACAGAAAGAAATGCACCCTTCAGGTTTCCTAAATGAGCCCTTGCGATGCCAGGTCTGCCCAAGGACATTGCGATCAGCTTTCCTAAGGCAGGGAAACTTCGAAGGAAACTTGTTTCCGCATCGAATAAGAGGAAAGGGTGCAGAGGGAGGTTGTTGCGCCTTAAGCCCTAAACTCTCAACTCCATTCCCTAAATCCTGAAATGCAGAAGCAATCATGGTCGCATTCGAGCCTTTCCCGAGGCTCGGAAGCCAAAAGGGGGGGCCGAGTCGCAAAAAAAGCACAGTTTGCAAGGATAATCAGGCATCTCAATAACAAAAGGGGACCCAAGCAATAGCAGCGGTATAGAAGCTTGACAAATTACCAATGTTATGTCTTAGAGCTCCCAGCTATGTTCATGCCACACATTGCTCAAAACCCCATTCAAGAATTCAGGCCCCTCGACTCTTTCCGCAAGTTTTTCGCAGGCAGCAAAACTGGTTGAGGCGCGGGCAGCCCCGACTTTGCGGCGTCTCTGGCTTCGGAGTTTGATCGCCTTTAGGCTTTAGGCTTTTGGCTTAGGGTTTAGGTTTTGGGGTTTAGGGGTTTAGGGTTCGCAAACCCCCAAACCTCCGAACACCCTAGACTCTCATTAAGCTGAAGCCCTTGAGCTCCCTGAACCCCACATCCCTGAAGCCCCTGAGCCCCCAAAACCCACGGAAAAAAACAAAAAAAAACTAAACCCTACACGCCGCACCCTAAATCCATACGCTCGAAGGCCCTAAGCCCCAAACCCTAAACACCGAATCCAAAGCTGCTAAGATGTGGGGAAGAAGAATGACACAAAACTGGTCTGATTGTCTACTATCTCCCAAAACCCTGTCGAAATTGTTACCTTTTAAGACCCTTGTAGAACCTTTCTACAGTAGGCCTTATAGAACCTGTAGTCTAACGGAGACCCCATTTTTATCTATGAAGGCCCCTCCATTCGACCGTGATCTTCGGCTGTTTTTCGGATGAAGGAACTACCAATAGTCTCCATTGTAGTTCCTTTTTGGGGTATCCTTTTTAGGATCCTTAATATAAAATTGGTTAAGCCAAAGAAAGGGTCCTGCAACCAGGGATCGCTCCAGGGGCTTCGGGGTTTCAGGGGTTTAGGGAACCCAGGTTCAGGGTTTCAGGGCTCGGGGTTGGGGGGCTCAGGGTTTGGAGTGCGAGTCCAAGGGTGAAGGGGTTGAGGCTTAGGTTCAGGGTATCTTCAGTCCTGCACTGGTTCCTAAACCCTGCAGCAATGGTGCGCTTCTGGATTACGCCCGTGCCAAAACGTGATCTCGCATGCTGCAAGAGAGGTATCGCCGTCATGGAAGAATATGGGCTGCAGTGCATGCTGTGATTTGGGTAGTTTTCTACATGAGGGTCCTGTTTTAGGTCCCCAATATAGTGCAGCACCCTTATGAAAAGGATCGGGAACCCAAACAGGCACCGGGAGGTTGGCAGATCCCTAACCCCTGTTTGAGGTACCCCAAAAGAGTAGGGATATGCCACTCCAAAGTTTCTGTTTATATCTGTGTGTACTCTCTTTACTTTTGGTTTTCCTAAGACTCACTCCCGAAATGCTCAAGCCGAAGCTGTCCTCTCGTGACTTAACACCTCAAGGCCTGAGATCGACACTCAAGACCCCAAACCTGACACCCAGACTTCCCGATGAGTATCCTTAAGCTGTGGAGGGTTTCCGACCCTAGACCCTGAACCCTGCACCCTGAACTATTTGCCTTAAAGCCTTAAACCCGAAGCCCTTCTGGTTTAGGGAGTTGCCCGGCTTGAGGGATACGAATCTCGCTGGGCCCTGCTGTCAGGCGATGACGCAAAGGGAGGCTGAGAGCCGACCCTGCGCCGAGGAGCTGCTTCAGGTTGGGTGAATGACACTGTCATCTGCATTGCTGCTGTATATAATAGTTGTTATCATTCTTATCATGATGATGGAACATTCTTGTCCTTCTTCGTATAATTACTACCATCACTCCTTCTTCTTCGTGGTGCCGCTACTACCACTGCCGCTGCTCTCCTCCTCCTACCGCTGCTGCTACTGCTACTGCTCCTGCTACTGCTGCTGCTGCTGCTACTGCTACTGCTACTGCTCCTGCTACTGCTACTGCTGCTGCTGCTGCTGCTGCTACGACCACCACCGCCACTGCTGCTACTGCTACTGCTACTGCTACTGCGACCACCACCACCACGACGACTACTACCACCACCACCACCACCTCCTACTACTACTGCTGCTACTGCTACTGCTATTGCTACTGCTACTGCTACTTCTACTGCTACTGCTGCTGCTGCTGCTGCTGCTGCTGCCACTGCTGCTACTGCTACTGCTGCTGCTACTACTACTACTACTACTACTACTACTACTACTACTATAACTAATGCTGGTACCACTGCTGCTGCTCCTACTGCTACGATCTCTGCTATTGTCATTACTATGAAGTTTCACTGTCCTGAAAACTAGGTACTGTAAATACTTGACTGCGACATGAGTGTTATCCTGCACCGCGCCGCCGCAGCACAGAAGCGGCAGAGAGAGTACAGTCTTCAAAAGCTCCTGAAACAGGTTTGGATGGCGCTTGCCAAGCTCTCTGCCCAGCCCCCCCCGTCCCATATATATATAGATAGATAGATAGATAGATAGATAGATAGATATATATATATTCAGACTATATCAAAACCATAATCCCTAAACCCTGAACCCGAAAGACGGAGTCTGAATAAGTCCGGGCAGGCACATGAGGAGATCGTCGGAGAAGTGTGTGAACACCTTGAGCTCGATGCGCCCCGGAACGCACAGATCTAGGAACTTCCGCTTTAGGGGTCTAGGGTTAAGGGTTTGGTGTTTAGGGTCAAGAGCTTGATGCTGGAAAACGAATCGAAGGACTTTACCAATCTACAGACATGCATGACTCCCAGATCCTGCATCCTTGGAGCGATTTAATCCTGCACAACGAGTTTGTTCCGGTTACGTCTGCCTTGGTTTCTTGCTGCACCCAGGCGGAAGCATCGATGCCGTAGAGAACAAACGAAGACAAACCCATCTCCGACGAGGCCTTGATGATTGCCTGAGGTTGCAACGGTTAGTACGGTTTGGGGTTTAGGGGTCTCGGGTTGAAGTGTAGTTTGCATCGGGTCAGGTATACGTTTCGAGGTGAAGGGTTGAGGTTGCGGAGTTTAGCACGCAGGACGCTCTTCGGATCACATCATAGAGGATGTTTGCAGCCGCCCGCCTCGTGCCTGTTTTCG